CTGAAAAGAGCCCGCTTGATTCGTGGTGCCGTCGCGTCGTTGTGACGTGCTGTGCCGCCACGTCGCGCCGTCGATGCGAGCTTCCGTGCCGCGCCGCGCGGTGCCGCGACGTGCCGTCGCGCCGTTGATACGTCGCGCCGTGCCGTGCTGTGCGAGGAGGCGTTGTTTCTGGCTTACTCAGCTGGGCGTCACCGCTATGTTGGCGTGAATCCCTTTGTGGTGTGCCCACTATGGGTGTGTGACCATTATTTGCGCGTGACCATTATTTTGTGTGACCACTATTTTGGTGTGGCCACTTTTTTGTGTGACCGCTATTTCGGTGTGACCACTATTTTGTGTGACCACTATTTTGGTGTGACCATTATTTCGCGTGACCATTATTTTTGCGTGGCCACTCTTTTGTGTGACCACTATTTTCGGCAGTCCTGGTTGGTCTGTGCTTTGGGGGGTTGTCTTGTCACCCCGTGGTGGCGGCGCGCAGTTTGCATTGTTTTTATCAGGGATTCGTGCTCCAACATTTAGTGGGCGCATTAGTGGTCGCCAGTCTCCCTTGCCGCGCTCGTCTCTGCATCGCCCCCCCTGTCTCTCCTTCCTCGCGCCCGCCTCGTTCGGCCCGCCGCGGGTCGCCTCCAGAGGTTCCCCGAAGGCATGGAGGGGGGGGGGGGGGGGTCCAGCGGAGGAGGCCGAGGAGGAGGAGGGGGAGGTAGGCGAGCAGAGGGGGCGAGGAGGGGCGCCCGCCCCTCCCTGGGCGTTCTCCAAGGTGGCCGGCGCCAGCGGCCGACCGCTACTTGGGGGGCCGCCCGCGCTCGGCCGGGGCAGCGGCGTCGCCGCGGCTGGGCGCCGCCCGAAAAACTGGTCACCGAGGATCCCAGAGCGGGTTCGCCTTGTCCTCCTCCTCTTCCTGCTCCTCCTCGTCGCGCCCGCCTCCGCCGCCTCCGGTTCCCCTCCTCCTCCGCCTTCTCCTGCTCGTCGTCTTCGTCCTTCTCGCCCCCCGCGTCGCTTCCTTTTTCCTTCTGCTCGGAGTTCGCGTCGTCCGCTTCGGCGCCCTCCTTGGCCTCGCTCGCCGTCCTACTCCTGTGCCTCCTCCTCTTCCTCCTCCGTTCGCGCGTTCGCCTCGCCCCTTCCCGAGTCGGGGCGCCCTCCTTCGAGCGCAAATTTCGCCGTAGCGCTCTCTCCCCTTGTCGGCCTCCCTCGTCTCCATCCGCCCCGCTTCATCGTTGTCGTTGCCCGTTTCTCCTGCCGTATTATTTCTCGGTTTCTTCCTTCTCAAACTCCCGTTCTCCTCGTCGACTTCCTTCTCACTATTCCTGCCCTTCTCGACCGCGCTATCTTCTTCCAGCCGTTCGCCCTTCTCTTCGCTCTTATCTTCGTCCTGCTTTCTCTGGCTTCGATCTCCTCGCTCCTTTCCTTGGCCGTTGTCTTTCCCTGGCTGTCCTCCTTTTTCTTGGCCCCCTCCTGCCTCTCGTCCTCGGCCTCTCCCTGCTGCTCCTCTCGGCCTCTTCCTCCTCCTCTGTCGCCTCGCCCTCCCCCTCCTCCTCCTCCTTCCCCTCCTCCTCCTCCTCCTCCCCCCCCTCGACTTTCTATTCCTCCTCCCCTCCAGTTTTGCCGGTTCTTGCTGTGTGGTTTGAGCCCGTTTTCGCCGTGGCGCGCCCAGCCGTCGCGCGATCGTCGCGGCCGGGCGCCGCTGGAGAAGCCGGCGTGGGATGGGCCCCGCGGTAGCCCGGGGCCTGTTTCGCGGGGGCTGGGCGAAGCGGGCGAGAGAGGCGGACTTTCAGCTCCTTCATTTCTGCAGCTGCTTTTGCTCAGGCTATGCCTTGAGCACGGCGGCGCGCGCTCCTGGCCGAGGCCCAGCAGGCGGCCGCCGCCATGCAGGCGGCCGAGGCTGCGGCCCAGGAGCGCGGGGGCAGTGACGACGACGCCTTGGGGGGCAACGACGACCGCGCCCTCGAGGCAATCGAGCGGGCCGCCGCGGACAGAACATCGATGCTGCTGGAGCAAGGCCGCTCGAGGCAAGCGACCTTCCGCAAAGGCTCGAGGCGGCAGCTGGACGAAGCGCTCGACGCGGCTGCGTCGCAGTCGGCCCTGACCAAGGCGAAAAAGCAGAAACTCATCGGGACCCGCGAGGAGCGGCTGCTGAACCAAAAGCTGCGTAACCTCCAGGAGGCGGAGGTGCCACCTGCGAGTGTGTCTTTCAACATGGTGTTTCGGCCAGCGCCCGAGCCCGCAGCTTGGGGGCGGGCGGGGCGCCAGCGCGCGGTGGAGGGCGCCCTGTCTGGGATTATCTTGTTCCCGGACGGCCGTCACGGGCTGAGCTTGACATGCCTTCCCGCGCAGGATTCTCCAGTCTTCTCCTCGCTGGAAGACGCGAGAGCGGCTTTTGATGCTGTGATCCGCGGCAACGACATGCTGCGGCCACAGTTGGGCGCCGATTTGGTCGGCCGCCCCACGGCGGATGAGGTGGGGGCGCGCTGCGGCGCGGACTTGGAGCGGTGGAAGGCCGCGCGCTTGGCGCAGGGCTTGCGGCCAGACCAGATCTACCTCCCAGGGGGGGCGCCAGGCGCCTGGGCCGTGCGCGCCGGCGTGCCCTTTCACAGGGTGAAGACGGACATGGCGCGCGACTTGGGCCCAGACCTGGGCGGCTCGAAGTCCTTCGTCGTCCTGGGCCGGCGGGGGCGCGCGCTGGAGACGCCCGTCGCGGTGCCCGACGTGCTGCGGCCGATGCTGCAAGCGAATCCTGCGGGGCAGGGTTGCCGCGAGCGCGCTCTCCTGAACAAGTCGTTGCGGGCGCTGGCCGCCGAGCTGGGCTTTGCCTCGCCGCGCCGCCTGCCGGCGGAGGTGGGGGTGCGCTACTACTCGCGCCCGTGCCCGCGCAGGCGGGTCAGCCCGTGCGACTGGCAGGGCGCGCTTAGCTCGGCTATCTGCTCTCCAGGAACCCGCGCCTCGGTGGCGAAGGTGTTCCGCGAGCGGGGCGTCCTGCCCCTGGTGGTGGCGCTGCGTCGCGGCGAGTTGGCGGCGCGCTTCCTTCCTGGGGCGGCCGTCAGCGCGGACCAGTGCCACGCGGAGGGCCTTGCAAATATCACTGCGCGATGAGGGCCGCGCCCGCCGCGCTTCGGCGCAAAACAGCGCCTCTTCAGGAGGGCCGGGCAAAAACAGACCCCATCGCCGTCGCCATCAGCAGCGTCATCGGCGCCGCCGCCTTCGCGGCCCACGTCGTCAGAGGTGCTGCGGCCCGCATCCTCTGTACTTCGGTAGCCGCCGCGGCCGCCCTTGTCGTGGCCATCGCCGCCGCTGCGGCCATCCCTGCCGTTCCTATCTTGTGGCCTTCGGCTTATCTGGCCTGCTTCCGCCGGCCCTTTGCTGGCGCTGCCGCCGCCCCCCTATCCTCCTCGTCCTCCTGCGTCCTCCCCCTCCGAAACGTCGTCCTTCTCCAGCGCCTCTTCCTCTTCGTCCAGCTCCTCGTCCCTCCTCGCTCGTCTTCCTCGCTCTCTTCCTCTTTTAGGGTCTTCGGGCCTGTTCGGGGAAGCAGCGGGGGCCCTCGCTGTCTGTTGGCAGGCTTCTCTCGGGTTTCTAGGGGCGGGGGATCTCGGTTTTCATTCCACGGGCCCGGGGATCTTCTCCAGGCCCGCCCGCGGCAGACCGGAAAACTTCGATCCGAGAGGGCCGTCGGCCCCTCAGGGCCCGCGCGCGCCCCCCCAAGGACGGAGCTTTCAGGCCCGGCGCGTTTCGGCATTTCGCTCCTGACCTCATGGAGGGGCCCTCGGGAGGGAGGGCCGGGGCCTCAGGAGTTGGGCAGGGGGGCGAGCGCGCGCCCTTTCCGAGCTCAGGGGCGCGGCGGCGGATCAGGCTCGTCTTCTGCAGGCGGCGGCGCAAGCGCGGCGCGTCGACCCCAGGGGCGTGCCGATTTCGAGGCCGATTTCGCCGTAACGCTGACGTTCGTCACTCCCGGCCCTCTCTCGAGGCTCCGTTAGCAGGGAGTCGGGTCGCCAGCCTCGGGGGAGAAGGGCGAGACAACGGTTATTTTGTCGCCTTTTGGGGCCCTCCTCGTCGGCGCGGCTCGGCGCAGCTCGGGAAAGTCAGGCGGGTGGGCCGCGCTAGGAACCCAGGGGTAGATTATGAAGCGATATGTCTTGCTTTTGTATTGCCGCCGTTGTCTCGCGAGGGCCCTCCGATTAGGGGATGCGGCGGATCTTGGCGCGACCCCCGTTGCGATCCCAATGGGGCTCGCCAGCCCTCTGCGGGGGGGATTCGTTCGGTGGCCATGCCCTGTGCGTCGCGCGATCCAGCGGGGGCCAGTCATCGCTCGAGGCGGCGCCGGTCCTCTTGTCCAAATGCAGGGGCGGACACTCCCAAGCCATCATCAGGGGAAGAGGGAGAGCAGCATTCATTTGGAGCAATTGTGGAGGAGGGGGAGGAGGAGGGGGAGGGGGAGGGGGAGGGGATGGGGAGGGGGGGGGGGGGAGGAGGAGGGGGAGGAGGAGGAGGGGGGGGAGGGGGGGGGGAGGAGGAAGCGGCAGCAACAGGTAAGACATGATCGGGAACATGCGATTATCTCTGGGGCGCTGCGCGCATTCGTTCTCAACGTTGCCGCCGTCGTGCGAAACGACGCGTCGACGTGCTCGAAAATTGCGCGGTCGCCCCAGCGTCGCGCGAACTCGTCGTCGAAATTGCCATCTATTGGGCGGGCCGGCACGTCCGTTACTCCAAGTGGCGCCGTCGATTGCGCGTCGCGCAACAGGCGGCCTCCGATCGCCAACGTGGCTGGATATTCAATGTCCGTTCTAGGCGTGCTGCGCTGGGTGCCGCGGAGGACTGGGGTCCGATTTTGGGGCTGCAACACCGACGATGCAACGGATTGCCGAGGACTGTTGGTAGCAGTTATTCAACGAGCTTCGCGGATGGAGGGCGGCTATTTTCTTCCTTCCGTAGCGCCAGGCTCAAGTTCAAGTCAAAGTTGTTGTGGTCACCGACGCGCCGGGGGCAGACGTTTCCACTCGGCGGCGATGGCCAAGGGCGCCGCTTCCAAGCCTCGGAGAGCGGCCAAGGTGATGAAAACGCCCAAACAGGGCGCAGATGCGACCAAGGCGCACGGCGCAGTGCCCCAGCCCGCCCCTCGACACCGTCGTCGACAGAGGCGCTACTGGGAAAAGAACGCAACCTGGGAGGCGGACCGAGAAACAGCAGGTGGCCCGCTTCATTGAGCGGAAGCTCTCGCACATTCTTGAGTCCAGGATTAAGACGCTTCGCGACGCCGAGGGACAGTCCATCGCCACCTATGCGGAGAAGGAAATGCGCAGGAGGAGGGTCCACCAGGGGCGGCTGAGTGGGCAATTCCTGCAGCAGTTGTACGCAGACTTCCAGCTGGAAGCTGGCACGTGGGATGACTTCCCGCCGCCCGCAGAGGACGGCGTCCTGAACGAGGAGCTCCAGGATCTCGTGATGCAGTGCCACGACGAGAACAAGGTGACGCGAGATGCGAAGCCCCTATGCTGCTACTTGGAGACGCGCGGCGAGCTGGACGAGGCCAACGACCACTTTTTGTTGAAGAGCAGCCTCCCAGGCCCAATGCTGGATGCCACGAACTCTCGGAACATCCACGTCGCAATATTGGGATACATCGCTCGTTTTGGCCTGGATGCGAAGTTCAAGGCGTATTGGGATGTCGTCGCCAGCGAGTTGGACAACAGCTGGAAGCACTGCTTCGAGGACGCCGTGGCCGAGGGAGCTCGCATGAATAACTTCCTCAAGAGCAGGCAGGGCATCATGAAGCTCTTCTTGGACAACCGCGTCGTGGACGCCCTCGCGAAGGCCGACGGCGAGTACTCCCAGTGCTGCGAGGAGATCCGCGCCGTGATGGTGAGCAACTGCATGACAGGGAGGGCCATGTTCCGGGACAAGTGGCTCTCCTGCGCGAACACTCTCTTCAAGGAGGAGTGCGTTCGCCAGCTGCGAAGCCTAGAGCACAACGACTTCGACGCCGACGAGGTCGCGGGCTACACGAGCACACTGAACCAGCGGGCCGCTGAGTTAAGGAAGTTGGCGGGCAAGAAGAAGAAACCAATGAGCTACGTGTTCGAGCTGTACTGCGCGACCCTGGACGCCATGGAAGTGGGCGGCCCTCGGGGCGCAGCGCTGTTCGTGCTGAAGAACCGCATGGCCACCATCGCCGTCAACAACGGCCAGCTGACGCCCTTGTGGTGGGAGCGGCTGCTACTCGACATCGGCAGGGTCGAGCATTGCCCCACGGCGCTGCAAGTTCCTGACGAGTGGATCGGCAAGCTGACGCCGGCCCGCGACTGCGCGGAATATATGCTGAAGGACGCGGGCACTTTGGAGGGCGTCATCAAGAAAGTCACCAGCAAGACGAAGACGCTCCTCGACGTGGACCGCAACTTCAAGTGCCACATCCAGTTCCTCACGAAGCACGTTCCTGGGCTCCTTCGGGCCAAGCTGGACCGAAAGGTATTGCAGGCCATGCCCAATGCTGGCACGGGTGCCAAGTTCGACGAGACGCTGGAACTGCTGAATGCCGCGCGCGGGTCCGAGCTTGCAGCCGCGCTCGGCGAGACGGCGTGCGAAGAGCTGTCCGGCATCTACGACGTCGTTCGCGGGGTTAGCCTCGGCCGGCCCCCGCTGGACAAGGGCGCGAAAACATTCAGCAAGCTCGCGAAGGACGTCCTGGCCCGCGCCTCGTCTTTTTGCGAGTGCAAGTTCACGCAGTCAGAGATGCGGGCGCGAGGGAAGCACGCCGCCCCTGCGGTCTACGGCGCCGAGGCCCTGCAGCACATGTTCAAGCAGCTGGAGGACAAGCACGGGGGCGACGGCGCGACGGTGGACGCGGAGGCCCTGCGGCCAGTCAAGCGCTTCAAGTGGCTGCTCGAGGATGGGCAGAAGGTCGTGTTCTCGAAGTGGCTGCGCGACGCCTTGCCGACGGTTGTCAGCGCCGCGCCGAAGCCCATCGCAGACGGCAAGGTCGACGACAAGGGCGAGGAGGAGAAGAAGCCCGCCGTCGCGAAGGCTCCGTCGGGCTCCAGCTCCAGCAAGGGCCCTGCTGGCGCGCCGAGCTCCTCCTCCAGCGCAGCGGGTGCAGAGCAGAAGAAGGCATCCAATGCGAAGAAGCAGGCGCTGCTTCAGGGGCTCTTCAAGCGCGCCGAGGGCCCCAGGGCAAAGCCCTGAGCCCCGAGCTGCCGCGCGCGTCCTCGCGCGTGCCTCCGCCCGCCCCCTTGGCGCCCCCAGCCTCTCCAGCCCTGGTCCCACCTCGCGCTCCTTGGATGCCCGAGAGCGCCCTAGCTCGGCCGTCGCCGCCTCGGCAACTTGACTCGAGCGCCCGAGGGCGGCGCGGCGGCGCGCGCCCCGCGCCCGCTTAGATGTCGGAGCAGATTTCGCCGTAACGCCGTCGATGTTTCTTGCTGCGCGCAGCCTGTGTACGCCGCGCGTCCGGGGCCGCATTCGCGGTCGCGCATGGGCCGCCCCGTCGACGAGAAAAGGTTCGTCTCTGCACGTGGCCCCCGCAAGTCCTCGCTCCGCCGTGTTTGGAGGGCCCTGGGCTAAGAGGCGCTTCGGGGAACCCTGGGGGCGACTTCGGAGGCACGCGGAGGCGATGTCTGCGGCGACCCAGAGCAGGGCCGCGGCGCGCCCGCTTCGCGAGGCGCCTCGGGGGCGATTTAGATAGTCGCGCTTCGGAGGCTACTGGGGGCGACCTCGGAGGCCCTCGGAGGCGGCGGCGGAGGCCCCGGGAGGCGACTTCGGAGGCCCTTTGGCTCGATTTCCGAGGGTGCCGCGAAACAGAGCCGATTCGCTCGGCGCTCTGGTGCGCAAGAGCCGCGCGATCGTTTGATGAAGCTCGGGCCGATCTCGCTGTCCTTTTCTTGTGCTCTCTCCTCCTCGCGCCCCCCCCCCCCCCCCCACCCGACCTCTCTCTTACTCTCGCTCTCCCCCAGTAGCAGTCTCGTTGTGTCCCGTTGCATCTCCCTGTCTCTCTTGCTCTACCTCTATCCCTCTCCCCTTTTCTGTCTCCTTCCCTCGCTCGCTCTCCCCTGCGCGCCCCCCTCCCCCTCGCTTGTCTCCCCGACAGCTTGGGCCGCCGCATTCGGCTCGTCCCGCCGCCGCGCCCAGGCCCCGATGATTGTCCCGACGGTTGCCCCCATGGGTCGCCTCATTGGCGGTTGCGCCGAGGTTGTGTCGCGCGCGCCCCGAGTTTGCTTCGCGGTTGCTTTGCAGTTGCCCTTTGATTGCGCCACGCGTGTTTCGGGCCTCCGCGGTTCCCTCGATGATAGCCCCGAAGGTTGTCCAGGTGGTTGTTCCGATGGTCGCGCTCTGGCGCGCGCCGATGGGCGCTTAGTTCGTGAGAGCGACAGTTGCGCACGTGCGTTTTTCAGCTGGCGCGCGGCAAGGGCGCGCGACGCAACGTTCATGTGTCGGTGCGTTTTGCTCGCGCAGATCCATAAGAGCGCGCGCTGGATTGCGCCGCGATCAGGCGGGCTCGCCCCGCGCCGAGGACCACCGCGCGCTACCTCAGCGGCCGTCAAACCGCCTAGCTTCTCTGAGCGCGCGCGGGGGCGCTGCGGCCCAAACCGACAGTGAAGAAACGCTATTCAGAAAGGTCTGCCTTGAGGGGCGCACATTCCGATGCGCGGGGCCTCCCTCGCTGAAGCTTTTGCTTGGGCGCATCCACGACCTTATTGGCAGCCTGCCTCTTGGCCATGGCCCGCGTGGACTTCCCGTCGATGGGCTCATCGCCTGGCTCAACGGCAGTCGCCTCGAGGTCCTCCTCGGCGCCCGCTGCGCCTTATCTTCGATATCGAGGAGGCTCTCCGTGATGCTCGCCGCGCCGAGGACGAGGTCATGCGACTCTGGCTCGATCTCCTGGATCCACTTCCTGGGGGCGCCCATCGGCGAGTCCGCATCCGCGCCCTCGAGCGCCGCCGGCCGCCCATGCTGGAACTCCTGGGTCGCGCCTCCCAGCGCGCGCCCGACGTCAGCCATGAACTCATGGGGGTCATCGGCGCTGGTTAGTTGGCAGCTCTCGCGTTGCACCCCCCCGCGACGCGCTGCTGCATGGTGAGGTCCTCGAACTGGCCCTGGTACTCCGCGACCGACCACTGATTCGTCTCCGTGTCCTTCTTGGCCTTGTAGGTGCCCTTGCAGATGCGGCTCCTCCACTCGGCCAGCTGCGACTGCGGCGTCTGCAAGCCCTCCATGAAGAGGTCCCGATTCACCGGGTCCCAGGGCTGCCGATGGGCCCGCCCCGTGGCCCCCGCCAGAACCCCTCGGCTCGAGGTCGTCGTTCGTCGCATTATCTCGCTTGCGGGCTCGGGGAAATAAACTCGCAAAGCCCCCGCCCCCACCCCCCTCCAGATGGATGGGGGGGGGGGGGGGGGGCGAAGATGAGCTGGGTGCGCTCGCGTCATATCTGACGTCCCACCCCTCCCTCCCATCCGTTACCACGGCGCATGTCCCCTCTCTACTCGCGCAGTCGGATGTCGAGCAGGGCAATGATCCCGAAAGGGTGCGCGATGCATTGTAGAGCACGGCATGGCACGGCGTAGAAGAGCACCAGCGTAGTATCAACCTAGCATTGCATTGCATGCCGTGGCATGGCACGGGAAATGACGCCAGCGCTGCAGCGGGAGCACGAGTCGAAACGAGCTGAAGCGCGAGAATGAAGCCAGCGCTGCGGCGGGAGCACGATTCGGAACGAGCAGAAGCACGCCAGAATCGGCCCGGGAGGCTTCCCGGGCGCTAGAAGCAGAAATTCAACATTTTCACAAGAAAAATGTGTATTGGAATGGCCTTTTTTCGGCGCCGTCTCGGAACTCGATTTTCCGGCGCTGGCCGGAACCGGCTCCGGGCCCGGCCTGGGCGCTGGCCCGGGCGCCGGCTCGGGCGCGCGGCCCGGGCGCCGGCTCGGGCGCCTGCCCGGGCGTCGCAATCGGCCTGGGCGGTCTGCCAGGCGCCGGAAGCAGAAATTGAACATTCTCACAAGAAAAATATGTATTAGAATTGTTTTTTTTTGGCGCCGCCTCGGAACTCGACTTTCCGGGGGCGGCCGGAACCGGCTCCGGGCCCGGCCGGAGCGCCGGCCTGGGCGCCGGCTCGGGCGTGCAGCCCGGGCGCCGGCGGAAATGATGTCAGCGCTGCAGCGGGAGCACGATTCGGAACGAGCGGGGCCCGAAAATGAGGCCGGCGCCACAGCGAGAGCAGCATTTTGGAAACAAATGCAGGCGAGAACCCAATTCCGGGGAAACCTGCGCGTAAAAAGCAATACGTGGGGGGGGGGTCGCATTCCCCCGAGCCGTCATCAGGGGAAGAGGGAGAGTAGCATTCATATGGAGTAATTGTGCATGAGGAGCCGTTTATCAGAGCGTGAATTACCTACCCCGCTTTCGCTTCCAGGCAAAACCAAGTCATGCCACGCGCCTCCTCGTCAAGCGGCCTGACCAATACAGGCTGTAGTTTGGCATCGCCGGGTATCTCTTGGAAGCGAGGGTGGTTAGGTTTGTTTGCCCCCTAGTTTAAGCCCAGAAGGGGAAGGGGGATATAGGGAAGATGAGGACGAGGTCGAGTGGACGAGGATGGGGATGGCGAGTAGGAGGCTCGGGCGAGGTGGAGGGTGGGGAAGCTTGCAACGGCCTAAAGGGCCTCCACCTGCTTGGCCTTGTGGTCGCGATGCCACTGGATCTTCTCCTCGGGCGCCTTCTCGTTGAACCAGGCCTGCAGCGCCCTGTGCTTGCGCCGCCTGTTGGTCAATGCCTTGTAGCTCGTCTCGCACGCGCCGCGCTCGTCGACGGCCTTCCTCGCCTTGGCATTCCCGGCGCCCGCGGGGCAAACGAGGTCGCGCCGCTTGCGCTTGAAATCGCCCTCGGCGAGGTCGAACACATTCGCGATCAGCGACGGCGCAGGCTCGACGTCGCCGCCAGGCGTGCTAGGGCCGTCGACAGGCGCGCGCGCGCGCCGCCAGGCGTGCCGCCAGGCGCGCTGCTGCCAGCGACTGCGCGGGGCGGCGCATGCGGCGCGCCCGCGGCGCCAGGCTGCGCCTGGGTGCACATCGGTGACAGCCCCTCCTTCATCGCGCCGTTCAGTATCAACCTCGAAGAGGCCGCCTGGGCCCGCGGCCCCACTGCCTCCGCCACCCGGGGTCGCAGCCGCGTCTGCGGAGGCACCGGGCGCCCCATTGGCCGCCTCGAGCATCGGGGGGCCGCCGCGCCCGTGGCGCCACCGCCGCCGTCGTCGACGCAGCTGCCTTCCTGATCGACTTGCGTCGGAGCGGGCGGCTCGGCCTCGGCGTCGGCGCGCGCGGCGGCGGCGGGGTCGCCCGAGACCGCGACGGCAGCCGCGCCACCGCCGGGCGGGGCACTGGCCGCGGGGGCAAGCAAAGCCACGGGCTCGGCCGCGCCGTCAGGCGCGCCAGCCTTGACGACGCCCTTGGCCATGGCGGCTGCGATGCTCTTCGAAGCGGGCGCGGGCTCGGACGGGAGTTTCGCTCCTCGGGTGCCTCGGGGGGGGGGGGGGGGGGGGGGGGCGCGCGCGCCCCCGATGCATGGGTGCCACGACCCGCAACTTGCAGAAACAATTATGTTGATAGCTGCGGTGATGGGAGCTATGGCGATGACGCGGCCGACGAATCGTCGTCGTCGTCTTCGCGGCGATGACGGGCGACGAGCGAGGAGGATGAAACGAGGAAGGGGATGGGGGTGCGTCGGGCGAGGGGCTAGGGGAGGCGGCGAGACGTAGAGCCGAGCAGTTACAGCCAAACTCGACAGCAAGTGCGCGATGGAAAGGCATGGCCCCTGGAAGACACTGCTGGCAGGAAGAGCATTTGAGGATGCAGGATGCAAGGGCCATTGGTAAGGATGCGGCAAGGATGCGGTGGGGGCGCAAGAGCCTCGGGCAGGGATGGGGAGAGGCTTTGGAAGAGATGGAAGGGGGGATCAGATAGGACAAGCGCCGAAAGGCGGACCCTCCACCAGGCTGCTGCCACTAGCGCGGCATTACAATATCGCGGAGAACGCCGCGCAGATGCTGGCTGCGGCGCGCTCTGTTTGAATGGTTGCGTTCCATTCGGCGCGGCGCAGGCTGGGAAGAGCCGCGGTGACCAGAAAGAGCCAGCGAATCTGACGAGGTCACAGTGGCCAGAAAGAGCCAGCGAAGGCCGCAGGCCGCACCGACCAAAAGAG